CTATGAGTCAGACCTTTTCTAACTCAATCAAAAGAGAGATTAGGAGACTGGTTTCCCAGTCGGGAGCTCTAAAGAAAGAAACCAGATCTGTCCAGCTCCAAAGCCAGATGTTTTCCGGGCCAGGCAGGGCATCCTCCTGGGCATGCAAGCCCAGCCTCTGCGGACAGTCTAGCTCCTTCCCTATTTTCCTCCAACACAGCTTCTGGAAAATGTATCAAACAGCACCAGCCCAGGGTGGGCACAGGGTAAGAGCCCACAGGTGACTAATGAACAAACGAACAAGTGAAACAAGTGAATGAGTGGGGGTGGTGGTCTTTGAAGGGGTAATTGGGAACCAGACTCCCCGCTCCATGAGCCTATAGGAGCCCTCTGTGGGTGTCCCCAAGGCTAAGACCTCACAACCCCATACCCAGTTGCTCAGGTTTCCAGGCAATTCTTGGAAGTCTCCCTCCCTCCCTCCCAGTCCTCTGCAGGCCCAACCTCCTGTCCCTCCTCCTGCTGCCCCCTTGTGGCAACGACCAGACATCTCTGCAGAGAAACCCTTGCGGGAGGTGGCTGCTCGGGGACAAGATCAGGGAAACCCCACTTGTGGCAAGCAGCTCTTCCAGACCTCACCTCAGAGCCTAAATTCCATGCTCAAGAGGAAGGGAGGAGACCAGGAGAAGGAACAGAGGGACCGTCAGCTGGAGGTCAGCAGCCCTGGGCTCCAGCCTTCGCTCCGTCCCTAGCAAGCTTTGTGAGCCTGGAGAAGTGGCTTCCCTCTTCGGTCCTCATTTCCCACCTCTGAACAAGGCTCCTCCAGGGCTAGTCTTCTGCCCACAAGCCGGGGCCACCAAGGTGGCAGTTGGTGGCCAGGAAGGAAATGTCACAGGGGCCTTGGGCCCAGGTAGCTGAAGCAGGTGGCAGGTGGAACACACAGGCTGGGGAGAGGAACCAGCCAGAGAAACGGACATGTTTCAAATGCCGCCTAGGGCCGCTCTCTTCCCACTGTCTAGTGACGATGGGACCTTAGGTAAGTCACCTAATCTCTCCCTCTCAGTAGCTTCCTCCTTCAAAGTCTGCGTTTCAGGGAGATAAAAGGCATCCAAGTGCATTGGACAGTCGGTGGTCCTATGGAGATGACGGGTGGCCTGCTCCCTTTCAGGCCTCCTGTCACCTGTCAGCTCGGGGTTCTCCCTAGAAAGCCTCCTCCGGGAGGGCTGGACCGTGTTCCAGATGGACAGGTGTCCACGGCTGGCCTGTGAGGCCCAAAGGCAGCTGGACTTTCAGAGGGGTCCCTCTAGCGCTTTCTTCTCCGGTTTCTACCTGTCCTGGCCCAGCGCGCTGACCTGTCCCTTTGACTCTGAACAGGATCTCGATGATGGCCTCAATGAAGACTCCCTCCTCTCTGCTATGTGCCTCCCCTCAGGGTCAGTGAAGGTCAGTGTCCCATGCCGATAAGAACTCCTGCTAAGGGGTCCGGGTACCCAAGAGGCTCGAGGACAGAGGGGAACTGGCAAAGAGCCGGAGGCAGGGACGTTTGACTTGGAGCAGAAAGGTGTTCGGCTCCGTGGCGGACCTACCCTAGGCCCATATTCAGCAAAACCGAGCCAAGCACCTCCCCAAACCTGGCATCCCACAAAACCAGCTTTGGACTTTCCCAAACTTGGGTGAGGGTGGAGTCATCCAACCTGTCCCAGCTGGGAGGCAGGGTGTGTCCCTGTCCCCTGACTCCTTCCTCTCTCCACCCAAGGCAGCTCTTTTTTTGGGGAGCACTAGGGATTGAACCTGCAGTGCTTCAACACTGAGACACTGAGCCATCATGCCCCAGCCCTCCCCTGTTTTTTTTTTTGAGTAGGTCTGATGCCCAGGCTGGCCTCAAACTTGCAACCCCCTTGCCTCAGCCTCCCAGGCAGCTGGGAGTACAGGTGTGTGCCACTGCACCCAGACAGGGCCTGTCCATTCTAATTCTCTGTCCCTATTTCCTATAGCAAAGATCCTCTTCACAGGCAGGACTGTGGGGGAGTTCGTACCTCAGAACCATCTGATCCCTGGCCACCCACACTTCCTTCAGTCTCACCCTCCCCGCCTGAAAGCCCTTCTTCCCATCCCTGAACCCTCATTATCCTCCAAGATCCAGCTCAAAGGCCACCCCGCCTTCCTCTACCTCCACTCTGCAGACTCCCGGCAGCACTAAGAGAGTGCTGTTAGCCCAGGATATGGGTGCACGTCTGCGATCCCAGCACCTCAGGAGGCTGAGGCAGGAGGGTTGCAAGTTCAAGTCTAGCCTAGGCAACTCAGTGAGACTCTGTCTCAAAAAATAAAACAACTGGGGATGTACCACAGTGGTACAGCACCCCTGGTACTGGAAAAAAAGAAAAATCTGCTTTGTGTTAAACTGATCCTGTTAACCTCACGGACAAGGAATGGGGGCCCCACATCTAGCACCGGTTGGAACTTGAATGTTAGTTAGCCTCTTTCCCCTGCCAGCTCCTGTAACCTGATTTCAGAACAAGCATCCTCTTGTCCCACCAGTAATAACCCTCAGTTTCCTCCTTAGACATGAAGTAAAATTAAAATATACCTCTACCGTACAGTTGGCCCTCTGTATCTGTGGATCCCACCTCCCTGGATTCCATCAGCTGCAGATTGGAAATATTTTGGGGAAAGAATACATCCATTCTGAACATGTACAGGCTTTTTTCTTAACATTAGTCCCTAAACAATGCAGTACAACAACTATTTACATAGCATTTACGTTTTTTTAGGTACTATAAGTTCGCTAGAGATTACTTAAATAAAGTACACGGGAAGCCAGGCAACGTGGAGCATGTTATAGTGACAGCTGGCTGGGAAGCTGAGGCAGGAGGATCACAAGTTGGAGGCCGGCCTTGGCAACTTCGCAAGACTCTGTCTAAAAATAAAAAAATAAAAAGGCTGAAGATGTAGCTCAGAGGTAGAACGCTCCTGGCCTCAATCACCATGACCAGAAAAATAAATCAATAAGTAATAAAGTACAGGGGATCTGTGCTGTGCACAGGTAATATGCAAATTGAACTGGGAGACGGGCCAGCGAGAAATGAGAGACGGAGACCAGGCAGAGATTCACAGGAGAGTTTATTTGTCAGAGGGGACAAAGGCCCTCTCTCCATAGACAGAGAGAGGCAGAACAGGCTTGGGGTTCAAGACTTATGGGGGATGCTCAGGGTTAAACTGGGTAGGGCATGGGCAGTGAAGGGTGGGTTGAAACCACCCAGGAGGTGAGGGCCGGGGCTGGTATGAGGGGGTGCTGAGCCTTTCCTAGAAAGCCCTTGGGCAGGAAAGCAAAATCTTTCTTAAAATTGCATCTGTCACTTAAGATGGCCGTCCAGATGCTAAGCAAGGACCTTACACAATACGATGTCATTTTATATAAGGGTCCAGAGTAGCCATGGGTTTTGGTAGCCATAGGAGGTCCTGGAAGCAATGTCCCATGGAAACCAAAGGACAGCGGGACTCTGCAGCTTGCAGATGCCTTTTCATGATCTTAAGGGGAATGTTTAACCCTCAAAGCCGCCTGTGAGAGGGCTACTGCGGAGTCTGCTGCAAATGAAGAGGGCTGAGCCCTAAGCCACGGGGGCATCTGGCCAGGCCCCTGGGTGGGCACAGTGGGGACCTAACTCTGGCTTTTCTGACCCCAATCTTGCTCAGGCCAATCTCTAATGAGAAGAGGCCCAGCTGGGCCGCAGCTGGCCTGGGATACAGCAGAACGGTGAGTGGGAAGGGTCACTCCATGGGGGAGCGGGCAGGCAGCTAATCTGCAAGCCAAAGGCCACCAAAGAGATAGGCAGTGACCTTGAGAAAGGCCTGTGAGAAAAGGGACAGGAAACTCAGATAAGAGCCTGAGTGGGTGACAAGAGGCAGTTTGGGGGGGAAGGAACCAGAGGAGAGATCCATGGCCCCCACCCCACCCCACACTGTCCCTCCCAGACCCCTGCTGGGAACATGGGAAGGGCCTTTGCTCATCTGTGGACCAGAACAAGGCCAGATGAGGAGCTGTCCCTGGATCTGGGTGGCCCTGGGAGGTTCCCATGGCAACCGCCAGCCAGTCCCGGGTCTGTCCTGGGGTCCAGCGGAGAAGTCTGGAAGCGGCTCTTGAAGAGAGTGTACACGCCCTGGTCCTCAAGGAGATTCGGGGTGGTCAGGCATGGAGGGGAACCACTGCCCCCAGGACAGGCTGGAGGCTAAGGCCCTGGGGGCAGGGACGGGGGATCCCCAGAGGAGGGGACAGACCCGAAGGGGCCTGGGTGAGAGGAGGGGAGCTGAGAGCATGAGGGCAAAGGACAGGTGGAGCCTGGGAAAGAAGTGGCCCCAGGGGAAAGAGGTGAGGGGGGGGGAGGCCCCCGGGAGAGAAAGGGGTTGGTTTGGTTTGACTCGGAACCAGGGATTGAACCCAGGGTGCTTGACCACTGACCATCATCCCCAGCCCTTTTCATGTTTGAAACTGGGTCTCACAGAGTTGTGAGGCTGGCTTTGAACTCACGGTCCGCCTGCCTCCGCCTCCCAAGCTGCAGAGATGACTGTGCGCCTCCTGGCCTGGCTGGAAAAGTCGTTTGGGGGACTGGCCAAAGAAAACAGGATTTTTCTACTTGAAAGCAGACGACCCAAGCAGGCTACCTTACCTCCAGCGATCCCCCCAGGTACCCCAGAGTGATGCTCTTAGGGCAGAAGGCCTCTTCTTGAAAGAGCTACGCAGACTTCCCCTGGAAAGGGCAGGAGGTGAAGTATTGCCAACAACAAGGGCGTACACTGCCAGGGCCCAGCCCAAAGCCTGGCACAAACAGCACTGTGCCCCCAGTGGCTCTACCCACAGGACCACCCCACCACTGCCCGGCCAGGAGTGGTCCCCAAGCCACGTGGGGGTTTTGTCTGTCTGTTTGTAGGGTTGGGAACTGAACCCAGGGCACTAGCAGGGCAAGTACTCTGCCGCTGGGCGGCATCCCCAGCCCTTCCCGCTGCAGCGGGCTCCCGTCTCCACTCACTGGCCTCCAAGTCAGGAGAGCAGCCACGGCCGGGTCCTTCCCCTTCACCAACATGACTGATGGACGTGATGGAGGGAGGGGCCTCAACGCTGGGGTGGGCATAGGATCACCCCCCAAGAGCGCCCCGAGAGGGTGATCACAGCTGCCATGTCCTGGCACCCTGGCCTCCCGACACACCCCTGGGGTGGATAGCTGTCTTTTTCTCCCTGACTCAGCACTTTGAGAAACCCCAGCTCAGCGTATCTGCTTCCTGAGAGGCCAAGGAGAGGAGGGGCTTGGGAGGACCTACCAGCCTCTGGGAGAGATCGCTATGCAAACAAAGGACGTGGGCCCTAGAAACGGAACCAAGGCCAGCGTGAGAATCAGGGTCCCCTGGGAGCCCAGGGAGGCCCGTGTGTATCTGCACCCAGGGCCCAGCACCTACCCCGGGTACCAACTCCTGCCCACCCTCCAGCCTCAGTGTCCCTCAGCAACCCATTTACCACTCAGCTGTTCAGGCTGCAGAAGGTGAACAACGTGAACAGGGTAAAACCAGGCTTCCTCCTGAAGAACTGTGCTCCATGGAGCCTAGTACTGAACCCAAATCCTGGGCCTGAGGTCCCTGCTCCTTCCAACCTCACTCCAAAATTAGAATCTGACTCCTTCCTAACCCCCCCCACCCCAAGCTTGTATCACTGACCATTTTCTGGAGAGGCAATTCTGCCTTAGGCCTAACTGCAGTTCCTCCTGCTGCAGAGAGCAGCCTCCACTGTACACAAGCTTCATTTATTTATTTATTTGGTACTGGGAATGGAACCCAGGGCTGCTTTACCACTGAAGCCAGTCCTTTGTATTTTTTGAGACAGGGTCTCACTAGGTTGCTGAGAGTTTTGCTAAATTGCTGAGGCTCATCTCCAACTTGGTGATCCTCCTGCCTCAGCCTCCCAAGTTGCTGGGATTACAGGTGTGCACCACCACGCCCAGCTGATAATAAGCTTCCAAGGTACCTCTGCATTCCCAGGGATTCACTGTCCCTGGTACATATCAGACTTTACAAATACCTGCAGAATCAGTGGTCCTCACTCCATCCCCGCCAGCCCTCCTGCCCCCACCTGAGTTAACATACTTAAAGCCCTTAAGCAAGTCACATTCACACTTGCTAAATAATACAGAAATCCATTATGGCCCTCCCCTCCTTGATTCCAATACTCCTCTGACCTGGCCTAAGCAGTCATGGTGCTCACAGGATTCTACCCCAGCCCTGGCTGGGAGATTCCGAAAGAAGGCCAGAAGCCCAGGGAGCTGCCAAAGTCATTGAGGTTAGATGTCAGGAAGGACCCTCCCAAGAGCCAAGGAGATTCTTGGTCTTCTTGGGAAAACCAGCCAGTGGAGCAGGACCCCTGGTCAGCGGGGTGGGCCCTGAGACAGGGGTGATAACTAGAGGGGGAGGCAAGGACTGGACAAATGTAGAGCCCGGATGCCACCTAGTGGCTCCCTCACCTCTGTCCCAGAGCCCTGGGGGGAAGGAAGATGGTGCCCTCTACCAACGGCTCCAAAGGCCATAACTTTTCTTTCTTTCTTTCTTTTTGGTGGTGGGTGGATGGGGTGGTGGAGATTTAACCCAGAGTCGTCTTAGCACTGGGCCACATCTCCAGTTCTTTTAATATTTTGAGATGAGGTCTCTCTAAGTTGCCCAGGCTGTCCTCAAACCCGAGACACTCCTGCCTCAGCCTCCCCAGTCACCGCCACCATCACACCTGTAGGTCGTAATCTGAGTGCCAGAACAGGACAGGCGTTTTAATTGTTTTATTCAATCTCATTCTCAGCCCTTCAGTCCCCTTTTTTGAGGATAAGAAACCCAAGTTCCCAAAGATTAATTTGCCCAAGATCACTGGCCCGGATTTGAGTCCACAAAAGTCCTCTGCTCTTTTCCCAGCTCTCCGGGCAGCTTGGAGCAGAAAGACGAATTTCCAGCCCCAGGGCCTGGGCTTTGTGGGGAGGGCACGGCAAGGAGGAAAGGCCACACAAGAGGTGGTGAGTACCAGTGTCTAGGATGTCACCCCCCACTCGGGTGGGCAGCTGCACGGTGGCCCCTGGGCCTAGAAACCACCCCTAGTGACAAGCGTCCCCATAGAAGTCTATAATTTACAGAAGTCTCTAGTTCACACGGGGAGGTGAGGCCATGTGAGAAGCAGGGGGAGGGGACTTCACCCCTAGGGACGGCTGCTTCTAAATCTAACAAACCCCAGGGCAAGCCCTCGTGCTGGGCAGCCAGCCAGTCAAGTCCCAGGGGGTGCCGGGTCAGCGCGTGGGGCTGGAGGCACACACGGGAGGGGACAGAGCTCTTGGGCTTCAGAAACAGGATGCCCTTCCCCCACTGACAGCAGGCTCCTCTGGGTCCCCTTCAGGCTGCCCAGCCAGCCCCAGGGCCCTGAGCATTTGCATATATTTGCATAGCCAGTAAGGTGGGTCCAGCTCGGGCCTTTTTTGTTGCAAAAGTGACATCAGTGCTGGGTGCGTTCTGCTCCTCTGTGAAGGCTGTCCAGGGACACCACACCTGGAGAGCCAGGGGCATGGCTGGGGCCTGGCCTCCAGGGGTCTGATACCGCTGGGGATCTTGGCTGGGCCCAGGCTGGGCCATGCCCCAGGCGGGACTCAGCCCCTGGGGTGGGGGTGGGGGTGGGAGCGGTGGCTAGGCTCCTCCCGGGGCCCCATGTCTCTGGGCTTCCGCAAGTGCTTGTCCTTCTTCCCCAACCTGTAGGAGGACACGGTGGGATGTGGGAAGAAGAGGGCTTTAGGGGGTAATCATGAGCTGAAGGGACCCCCTCTTCCTCCTAAGGAAGCTAACTTGGCACACCCCAGGCCTTGCAGGTACAGGGCAGAGCCACCCAGGAAAGATCCCCCAGCCCCAAAGGACACCGAGGACCCTGAGGTCCCTCGGGAAGGCAGGCAGTGTATCGGGCTGCTGGAGACAGCAGTGGACAGAAGTCCTTAGAAAAGTCCCCTCCCCAGGCCCAGGACCCTGGCTCCTTCCATCCTTCCCAGCGGCCTCCCCTGTCCCCCCAAGGCCCCCACAGCCACCCACCTCCTCTTCAGCGCTCTTTCTCCAAAGAAGTGAGTAAAGATGAAGTCCTCGAAGTCATCCACCTCATCGTCATCGCCTGTCTGTCTCACCGCCGCCTCCTCCAGGCTGTCCTCCAAGGCATCCACGAAATCCCGGAAGCGGAGGCGATCATGCCGGAAGATGCCACCCTCGCCAAAGTAAGCGGGCGAGAGGGGCAGCTCCTTCATCAGCTGGCCAGCCCAGGGCAGTCGAGCCAGGTATGTCGTCAGCAGAGAGGCCAGCTCCTGCTGTCGCACAGGGGCCAGCTCCGTGCCAAAGAAGGCCAGGCCCTCCTGCCGGGCACACTCGGTCACGCCCGAGCAGCCCTGCGGGGCCCGGAACCTGCGCTTGGACAGCTCCTCCCAGGCGGGCAGGGGCGCGTGGCCGTCTCCAGTCTCTTCCCTCCACCGCGGGTGCTTCTGCCTTTCCCCAGAGTGCGGGCTCCCGCCTCTCCTTGGGGCCTCCCTGGGGTCCTGTCTCTTGCCGTCCTTCCTGCCCCCTGACTGCGCCACCCCTGGCTTCCCCTCCTTCCACTTCCCGGCCAGCTCCCTGTCCTCCTTGTCCCCCCAGCTCTTCTTCCTCTCCCAGCCAGATTCCTCTCTCCTAGGTCTCCAGTGCTCAGCCTTCCGGTCCCTCTGCCCATCACGCCACTTTTCTTTTCCACTCCACTCCCTGGAATTCTGGAAATGGGGTTTCTGATGCCAGACCTCGGAGACATTGGCAGAGACCACAGGGTCCTGGCCCCAGCTCTCCAGGCCCTGCAGTGTCTGGGCCAACCGGTGGCCCAGCTCGGCCAGGCCAGCGTGAGCAGGGGCCCCTTGGCTGGCGTCCTGCAGGCTGCGCTGCAGGTCCTGCTGCACAGACCCCAGCAGCCGCCTCTGCCTCTGCAGCTCCTGCCGCAGTGCCTGGGCCTCGGCCTCCAGCCGCTCCTTCTGCTCCAGGAAGCCAGGGTCCGGCTCCTGCCCCCGGGGTCCATGCTCCTTGGTGGCCTTGCCCGGCTGCGGTTCTCTGCCCCAGGGGAGGCACAGCCCGTCTGTGCCCCGGATGCAGCTGGCCTCCAGCCCTTGGAGCCGCGTCCTCAGCTGCTGCAGCTCCGACTCCAAGGCCCGCTGGGAGGCCTCACCCTGCTGCAGGGCGCCCCGGAGCCGGGCGTTTTCCTCCTCCAGCCCCCTGGGCTGCTGCAGCAGGCTCTGCAGCTCTTCTTTCTGGGCCTGGGATATGGTCAAGGATGGAAGAAACCAGAGTCCTCGTCCGACTGGACCCAATACCTCCTACCCCAACTCCACTCCCTTACCGTAGGCAGGGGCCCAAGCCCCTATGGACTGGGACACCCGAGGACTCGGCTCGTCCTCCTCCCCATCCTTACCCTTAACCAGGCCCTGGGATTCCAGAGTCCCGCCCTGGGCCCCGGCGTCGTCGATGAGCTTATATAACGGTACTTCTTAGATTCCCTAACGACGGCCAGTGGCCAGTGCGTGGCCCTCGTGGCCCCACCCACCCCGTACCTGGAGCAGACCCTGTTAACTGATCCTAACCGCTGGGCCTGGCACATCCCCCTCCACACAACGTCCCAGGAAGACCACAGCAATCAGTCAGAGGGGACATGCCACGTGAAACAGGGACGCAGCCTGGCACAGGCCTTAGCAGGAGGCCGTGGAGAGAGCTAGGAGGTGCCCTGCACATGGAGGCCCAGGGAGATGCTCAAGGTGGGTGGAGAATTGGAGGAAGGACACTAGGACAGACACCTGGCTAAGGGGGCTAGCGAGCCAGCGTCCCCCTGGCCATGCCCACCTGCAGCTGGGCCTGTAGCAGGCGGATGTCCTGGTTCTCCTTGGCCAGCTTGTCCAGGAGAAGGCCCATGTGCTGCAGGCTGGGGGTGCTGTCAGCGGGCACCGCGGCCTGCAGCTGATCCCTTGGCCTCTCCTAGGGTAGAAGAGCCGGTTACCTCACGCTCCCCAGGCTGTCCCGGGTTCTCCCAGCAGGCCCACACCCCTCCACACAGACCTGCCCGTCCCCCGCAGCGTCCACCAGCTCAGGCTCTGACCCAGGATCTGGGAAGACCTGAAGGTCAGCTTCCTCCGTGGGCCCTGCGGGAAAGTGAGGTCCTGAGCCTGTGCCGAGGCCACTCCTCCCCACTCTGTCACCCACTCAGTCACCCTCCTGTCCTGGACAAACCCTGTAGCAGGTAGGTCCAGTGAGATAAAGGGCCAGAGTCACCCTGAACAGCTGGCAAGGTCAAAACTGAGAAGTAACGTGCAACACCCGCCTCCCAACACCCCCCACACAACACCCTCCTCCCAACACCCTCCTCCCAACACCCCCTCCCACCCCCCCCCACCACACACCACCCCCCCACAACACCCTCCTCCCAACACCCCCCACACAATATCCTCCTCCCAACACCCCCCTCCCAACACCCTCCTCCCAATACCACACAACACAACACCCCCCCACAACACCCTCCTCCCAACCCCCCCCCCACAACAGACGAGCACAAGTTGGGCTCCCCCCCCACTCACCAGTGTCCGACTCCAAGAGGTCACCTGGGGATGGAGATGCCAGGCTGGTGAGACCTCAGGGGAGGGATGGGGTCAGGGAAGGTGACAGTGGGGCAGGAGGACAGGGTCCGATGCCGGCCAAGGCCCAGGCACCACTCACCGGAGAAGAGGAGGACCCCCAGGCCCAGCAGAACCAGGGCGCCCAGGAGGCACGTGTTGAGGGAGAGGCCCAGCTCCCCGCCCGCGCTCTGGCCCCTGGCCTGGTCCTCCACACGCAGCGGCGTCCCGGGCCGAGGCGGGCTGGGCTTCCGGCCCCGTCGCCTCCGCAGGCCCGCGACGTCCACCTCCGTGTCATCCTCACTGCTGCTGGAACAGCGGCCCTCCTCCCTGACCCAAACTGGAAGAAGGGACAGGGACAGGGCTGTGAGGGAACTGGAGAGACAGGACACAGGGACAGAGGGGAAGTGGCAGGTGGCCCAGAGAGGCCCTCAGCCCCGGCCACAGAGAGGACATCTGAAAACCCTGCCCACTTGTGCCCAGGCGTCCAGGACAGCGCCGGCCCAGCCTGGAGGCAGGAGACCCGTCCTGTCAAGCTACAAATGAAAAGAGCCACGTCTTAAAAGCATCCTCCTTCCTCCAACCTGTGGCTCGCTTCCAGCTTCTGCGGCAGCCACCACCCTCCCTTGACACTCTGGCCCCTTCAGCCTGCCCCCTGGGCTCTTCAGTCCTGTGGGTGGGGGTCTCCCTGGTCCTTCTCTGGTCCCCAAGGCCACACGCCCTCCCTCATTCCACTCACTTCCCCTCAGGGGAACGAGTGCCCAACCCGTGGCCCCACTGTGGCCACCCGAGAGCTCTGGCCACTGGCCTCTGGTGGTCCTTCAGGAACCAATCATTCAACACACTGCCTCCAAACTGGTTCCTTCTGGTGTCCCCCAATTCAGGGGACGGCCGTGTTGCCACTCATCCAGCTAAGCGAAGCCACCTCACATCAGGCCGTCTGAAGCTCTAACGTCCAGCCTCTTCACCCCCCACCTGCCCTAGCTCGGGTCTTGCCTCCCCACTGCAAGCTGCCCCCAAATGTAGCCAGGCCCCAGCTTCTCCCCCTTCCAGCACGTTTTGTTGTTGTTGTTGTTGTTTTGGGTTTTTTGCGGTCTCGGGGTCTGAGCTACAGCGCCAGCACCTTCTATTTTGAGACAGGATCTTGCTGAGTCACTGAGGCTGGTCTCGAACTCACACCCCTCCTGCCTGTCTCCTGAGTAGCTGGGATTAAAGGCGTGTGCTGCTGCACCCTTCTGTTCAACAGAGAAGGACTCCTCACCCCTCTGCCTCAGTCCTGGACACAGCCTCCTGCACACCAGAAAGGTGGTCCCACCCCTGTGTGAATGCCTCAGCCTCCCTCGGCCTGGAATGTTCTCTTCCTCCTGCCCTCAGTTAGGACTCTATGTTCAAATTCCTCCCAAATGGCATCTCCACCCATCCTGACTCTCCTTTGCCCTCCACACAAGCCCTGTCTGAACCATCTCCAATTCTTTGGGAGCCCCTTTAATTGAACCTCCTTTCTGCATCCCTCATGGTCTGACTTGCAGCTTGGCTCCGTCTGGCCTGCTTCTTACCCAGTCCTGAGCCACCCTCCTTCCCTCCTCCTGGGCTGGGAGCCAGCACAAGAAGGGAGTCTGGGAATGAGGGTTGAGTTCCAGAAGCAAGAAAAGAGGGGGTTCCATGGCACAGAGGAAAGAGTCAGCCAGATGTGAGCCCTGAGGTGTGACCTTGGTCAAGTCACTTAACCTCTCTGAGCCTCGATGGTAGAGAGCTGCTGAGTCCCAGGGCCCGGAGATGAGCACACGCTCAGCAGCGAGGACTGCTCCCTCTCCTGAACCTTCCAGAAGAAGAGCAAAGGGGCTCTCACCTGCTTTGGGGGTCGTGGACAGGCTCTGCAAAGGGCTCCGGTCCCCCAGGTCCTGTGCGTCTGGTCCTAGGCTTGCTGTCTCGGGAGTCTCCTGCGAGTCTTCCTGAACGACCGCGTCTCCTGGCCCAGGAGGCTCCACATCACAGTCACCACCTCCCAGAGGACCCTGAGGGGACACAGCCCTGAGCAGAGCCCACAGAGCCTGCACACATCCCTGCCCACTTCCTCCCTGACCCCAGTGAAGTCCTCACCTTGACCTCAGGCTCCCCTGGCAGAATGCGGTCACACTGAGGACTTTCAGTCTGAAACAGGGTCCCTGTGGGGGGAGAAAGGCCCGGGAGATGTGCCACTTCCCCAGCTGAACTTCCTAGTCACCTGTCTGGCTCCCACAGACCCTCCCCAGGTGGAGGGGCAGGAAAGAGCCGGGAGGGACCGAGGCGAGGGGTCTATAAACTGAAGACTAAACCGCTTCCCTGTCCTGAGAGCAGATCCTCCAGGACAGGGAGGACAGCCACCCCGCCCTGCTCAGGACACTACCTTCACCCTCAGCTGCAGGCGACTCTTCACCGACGGCCTTCGGCGGGCTCCCAGGGGCCGGGAGGGCTCTCTCGGACTCAGGGTCCACCCTGGGTTCTGGGCCCAGAGTCTCCACAGGAAGGCTCTAGGGAGGAGAGGGGTGCGCACGGGGCTGCTCCAGGGGAAGGCAGCAGGACACGGTCAGGAGCAGGGGCTAGCGGCCTACTCCGGGACCCCAAACCGCATCTCAGACACTCAGCTGAGAGCTGACCCAGGGGTCTCCGCCCAGTCACTCTCCACCCTCGCTCCAGAGGCCACGCTTCTGTTAACACTAGCAGCACTGCTAGGAGGCAGGGACCCACACACCCAGCAGCCCCTGGGGAAGGCCTGCCCGAGCCCGGGGGCCCCCCACATCAGCAGGACTACTTTTCCCGTAAGTGAACAACCCGACTCAGTCATTAGTTGGGGTAGGGACAGCAAGAGAATAACCCCCCTGGGTCAAAGTCCTCATTGACTACCCCTGGTGCCTAAAGGTCAGTGACATTCCCAGGGTCTCCTCACACCTGCCCAACCACTTTTCTTCCACACTATCCTGGCCTTTCCCATACCCACGGCTCCCACACAGGCCCAATCTCCCGCAGGTGGTGACAGAAACCCCCTGTCCCCGGTCACAGCCAGCCTGACTCCCTGGGTACCCACAGCCTCTCCTCCCTCCGGCCCACTGCGTGCCCACCCCACCCATGGCTCCTGCTACCACCCCAAGGATAATTCTTTTTTTTAAAAGTTTTATTGGTACCAGGAGGGAACCCAGGGGTGCTTAACCACTGAGCCACATCCCTAGACCTCCTTTATATCTTATTTAGAGACAAGGTCTCATTTAAGGTTTTGCTTAGGGCCTCATTAAGTTGCTGAGGCTGACTTTGAACTTGCCATCCTCCTGCCTCAGCCTCCTGAGCTGCTGGGATTACAGGCGTGGGCCAAGAATAATTCTTGACCTTGGTCTGTTTCTTTGCAATTTTCAGATCATGTTTTACTCATAGTCACCTCATAAGGCTACAAGGCAAGAATCACAATCCTCATTTTATAGGGGAGGACAGAGAGGGGACATGGCCTGCCCAGGGTTCAACAGTCAGCAATGATAACCCCACCCCAGGCCAGGGCTGATTGAGACCACAGTGCCTGTCCTTCCCTAAACTGCCGCCCCTCTGCCTGTGAGCCCTTGGCCTATGTATCCTGCTCAGTGTCATTGCTGACGTGAACTCCTCACTCCCAACAGGGCTCCTCCCAGCACCTCAAACTCAGTAAGTGGAAGCCAAGCTCCTCTCCCCCTAAGTGATTCTAATACATAAGGTGCCAAGGCTGGGAATTCTCCAGATCCTTTGTTTGTTTTGTTTTACAGTATTTGGGAGTGAATCCAGGGGCCCTCTACCGAGTTACATCCCCAGCCCTTTTTATTATTTTAAGACACAGTCTCACTAAGTTGCCCAGGCTGGCCTCAAACTTTTGATCCTCCTGCCTCAGACTCCCAAATTGATAGGATTACAGGCGTGTTCCAACATGCCTGGCTCCACATCCCTCTGACATCCTGTTTCCACCCCGTCTCCAGGCACTAATCCCCATCCTGCATCCCCTTTCTCCCTTCTCAGTGGTTTTAGGAGCACAGGGGTCCCAGGGGCTTCTATACCACCAGCTGTTATCTGGACGGCTATAGAAGCCCTTGTCCCTGGCTGGGTGCAGTGGAGTGGCACATATCTACAATCCCAGTTACTTAGGAGGCTGAGGCAGAGGACTGCAAGTTTGAGGCCTTCCTGGGTAACTTAGTGATCCCCTGTGGAAAGATTAAAATTAAAAAGGACTAGAAGTATAGCCCAGGGGTACAGCATCCCCGGGATTAAATCCCCAGTACCAAAAGCAAAACAAAACAAAACAAAAACCCACGTTACTGTCCCACTGTCCCTGTTCTCACCCAGCCCACACAGTGGCTTCAATATCTGCCCAAAGCAATGAATGCTGGACACCCCCAAACAAAGTCCTCCCTGACTGCCCATCAGGAGGAGGCTGGACTGCCTCACCAGGCCCTCTGGACCTCTTACAGGGTTCCCAGGCTCTACCCCAGCTTCATTTCCACCCCATCCAATGGCACCCCCGGTTCACCTGCACACGGCTCTCGGGCCTTTGATCTTCCTGTTCTCCCCGCTCTTCTCAGCTCACCCAGCTGGTACCCTTCCTCCAGGTACAGTCCAAGTCAACACCTGACCCTGGAGCCAGAGCTCCCTCTCCCTCCCCAGAGTTCCTCCAAGGCCAGCAGGAGGTGATACAGGTGACCACCAGGATCAAGGAAGGGGACACCCAGAAAGCAGCCCACCCCTTCAGGGTCCCTTCCCGTGTGGTCCCCAAGTCTGTTCTTCCTACCTCTGAGCCAGCAAGCACCCAGCTATTATCCACATCTGGGCAGGTGGCCATAGTGGTGAGGTCTCTGCGGCTGCTGGGGCTGCCACCTGCAGAGAAAACCTCTTTTAAGGACCAGTTTCCTTCAGGAGCGGCAGGATGCAGAAAGCAGTCTTTTTTTTTTTCTTTTTTAAATATTTATGTTTTAGTTGTAGTTGGACACAGTAGCTTTATTTACTTATTCTTATGTGGTGCTGAGGATCCAACCCAGGGCCTCACACATGCTAGGTGAGTGCTCTACCACTGAGCCCCAGCCACAGCTTGACAGGGTCCCAAGGATGAGGACTGGTCAGCAGCCTGCAGAGCCAGGCCAGTTCCAGGCCTTCTGATCCTGACACCTCAGCTCTTTGGGGCAGAATGTGCCTTGCAAATCAACACCTGCCCAAGTCAGAGAGAAGCTGCCTCCTCCAAGGACCCACAGGGCTTGGGAACCTGGACTGACCTTGAAAGGTCAAAGAATCCAGGGCTGGAAAGACCCAGGTGAACAGAGTCCAACTCCCTGAGGTTACACTCAGGGAAGAGGAAGAGGAAGTTTGGAAAGGTCAACTGACTTGCCTTGCCAAAGACCAACAGGTAATAAGAATGAAGACAACTTCCAACACCAGACACCTCCACAGTCACCACCCCCTCCGGCAGGGCCTCCTCTGGCTCTAAATCTCCCACCACCGCCCGCTCAAGGGCTCTGGACACCACTCACCCACTAGCTCCCCCAGGATCTGATTCAGAGTGGGGGTGGACCAGGCCCGGTTTGTTTGTTTTCAAACCTCCCAGATGATTCTCACTTGCAGCCAAGGTTAAGAAGCACTGGCCCACCTCAGATCCACCTGGAGGAGGCACTTTTAGTCCAGCTCCACGCTCACTCTCCATCCTGAGTTCTGCCCCCCCTTACTAGCTAGCTGCAGGGTCTGGTCTTAGGAAACTTGAAAGGTGACTGAGAAAAAGGGGCTGTGGCAACTACCATGTATAAAGCACTTTACAGTCTGCAAAACATAGGCAAGGGCTGGGGTTGTGGCTGGGGTGGTAGAGTGCTTGCCTAGCATGTGTGAGGCACTGCATAGAAATAAAAAGTTAAAAAAAAATAGGCAAAAATCAGGACTCTGGCCCTGTCCTCCGCTAATCTGCTCTGACTTGGCAGAGTGGGGGCTAGGACATTATTCCAGCCTCCAAAGCCAGGCATAAAACAGGATCACACGAGAGGGACCTTAGCCAGGTGTAGGAGTGCACAGCTGTAATCCCAGCAACTCAGGAGGCTGAGATAGAAGAATCACAAGTTTGAGGCCAGCCTCTGTAACTTAGTGAGACCCTGTCTCAAAATAAAAAATAAATAAAAAGGGCCAGGGATGTAGCTCAGTAGTCAAGTGCCCCTGGGTATAGTCCCTAGTACAGCCAAAAAAAAAAAAGGAGGAGGAGGAGGAGGAGGAGAGGGAACCGCCTTCATCCAAGTCCAACCCTGTGCCCTTGGGCTGCAACTGGGACCAGGCCTAAGGGTGAAGTGAAAGTTAAACTGACCCCTCAGAGTCCTGGGCTGTGATCCTTCAGAGGTAGATGAATCGTCGCTTCCCCAGGGGTGGGAAGGGCAGTAAACAAATATGACTGTAAGGAAACACTGGGGGAAAAGTGAGGCCAGGGGTGTCTGTAGTTCTGCCCTCAAACCCAGCGACTGGCCCATCTGCGGAGCTCGCAGTGAGCCCTGGCCAGTGTCCTGGTGACTTGGCCAGTCATGCTCTAAGATCAGGATGGGGGAAGGACACCCGCCCCATCCCACATGGAGGCAGGAGAAGGCTGCAGTGACGTCTCCACACCACGTCCAACAGGTCAACGCGGCATAGCTTTATGGCCATCTGTAGAGCCATAGCTGTTCAGCCTTGTGCTCAGTCCCTCCCCCACTGTTCTGTCATCTCCCCATCTCCAGTTGCTGCGTGTGACTGTTAACAGGTGGTGGCAGGAAGGAAGTGGCAGCAGCTTGGGCTGAAGTCCCTGTTTATCCCTGGCTGTGTACAGCCTGCTCAGGTCCTCCACAACTAGGAACCATGGCAACCCGGGTGATGTCAGACCCCCTGTCTCCATGGAAACCAGCAACGGGTATTTGGGTCAACAAGACAAACAAGAAGTCTGGAACTCCTGCACTCAGGGTCCCAAACCCTGACATACCTCTCTCTTGCTTGTGTTCGCTCAACATTCCAAAAGATACCCCTGTTCTCCCAAGCCAGCATCTCACTGCCTTATTAGGAAGTTCCTTCTGCTCTCTCATCTCCACCCTTTCTTGCTGCGTTTTCAGAGTTTTTCTTCTCAGTCCTCTCTGAAGAAAATCCACTCCCTCCCCACTATCCCCTTTCAGGAGGGATTCAATAAAAATCTCCTGTAAGGGTTGTCACGAACTTCTGCTTTTCTAAAAGACAGCCAAAGCGGGGGCTCTCCCCTCTGTAGAAAGCTAGCAAATCTTGCCTCAGGCTAACTTTCAACCCAAGAGTTGTCCCCCAAACCTCTAAGCAAAGGACCTAGGGCCAGTTCCTGTTTTGAAAATGACCTTCCCCTGCCTTCCCCCAGTTCTAGGTTTTCGAAAGGCAGCTCTGTGGGTCCTCGGTGGTGCCCAGTCCTTCTAGAGCTCTACCCTCTTTTCCTTAGCTCCCATCTCCTGGGGCCCTTTCCCGCTAGGGCATTACCTGACCCAGCTCTGGCTTCGGACTTCAGCTTAACTTGTTTCCCCAGGTTTCCAGCCCAAGAGAAGAGGGGAGGCACGTGACCCGGGGACGGGCCAATGGAGAGTCGACTTCCCCAAGGGGGCGGAAACTTTTGGCCAATAAGAATTGAAATGGGAGTCGGCGAGGCCAGAGATCTCCGAGGCCCCCAACCTGGGACTGACCTCCTGTTGGGCGAGCGAGGGCTCAGCAAATGGAATTTTGCGTGGCCTTCCTCTCTTTCCTCGTGCCTAAAATTTCTGGAGGAAAGAGCCAAAACTGAAAGGTAAAGGGTGTTGTTCCCGAGATGACAAGGACAAGAAGCCAGGTTGGCCCAGGACAGAGACAGCTGTAGGATGGGGGAAGGGAGAGAGAAGGGTGGCAGACGAAACAGCCCTCCTGCCACTCTTCCCACCGGCTCCAGCCACTGCTACTTTAAAAGCGGGTGGGGTCTGAAAAACATCCAAAAATGAAATCTGCTAGGATGTTGTGGTGGGGCTCCCCCTCCCTCCCCCCACCCCGCGGGGGTAAAGGGAATTGAACTCAGGGGCACTGACCACTGAGCCACACCCCCAGCCCTATTTTGTGTTTTATCTAGAGACAGGGACTCACTGAGTAGCTTAGTACTTTGCTGTTGCTGAGGCTCGCTTTGAACTGGCGGTCCTCCTGCCTCAGCCTCCGAGCTGATGGGATGATAGGCATGGGAGGGCCCCCTCACTCTGGAAGCTACCCTTCACCCCAACACAAACGACTGAGAGGTGGAGAGGATGAGCCCTAAACCTAGAAGAGTTCAAGCGCTTGGTCCCAGAGATCTTGGAGCCAACTGTCCTGCCTGGCTCCGGGCCCGGGCCAGGAATGTGCTCAGAAAGGAAGATGGGTTTCTCGAGCAGGGACATGGGGAGGGGTGTGTCAACGCAAGGCCTCCTTGACTCAGCAGCTTGAAGCAGTCGATCCAAGGGGTTGGATCTTCCCGCCATTCCCACTTCCAGGGGCCCTGGGAAGTAAACATCCCCACCCACACCACACCCTTACCAGTAGTGACAGTGGTTTCAACCTGCCTTTTTGCAGATAAACAACAATGTGTCCTTGCCTGGATTTTAAAAGTCATTTTATTAACCCAACCGTACAAAAAAACCCCACGACCACATCTCTTGCCACTCCACTTTCTTCCAAAAAGTAGTGACGTCTACACTCCCCAGGAGTGGTTTACAGCTGTGGAGAGGGAGGCATACAAAAGTAGCAACAGGGGAGAAGCAAACAGAACCACAAACACAACACAAAGCTGGGGTGCCACCTCCACTGTTTCGGTGTGGGGAACACCAGCTTAGAGAAGCCCGAGGCCCACCCTCTTCCTCACAGCTGCAAAGGCTGTGGGCTCCACCAGGCAGTATCTTCCCTCCAGGTGCAGGTAGCAGAGAGAAGTGGGAGTAGGGACCAGAAGGTAGCCTTTGCCACCACACCCCGAGGGCTAGAGACCACAGACCACACTCCCTTCCCCGCCCTTTTGAGGAATGCACACAGGAGCTGTAAGGAACAAAAGCAGCCAAGAGGGGCTCCTGACCACGCCCCAGGCTCAGGGCTGGCAGGCAGTGCTTTAAAAAGAAAACAAAAACAAGCCCAGTGCAGGACTTTGGCTGAGACTAGTGAGGACTGCTAGATCACCAGGCCCAAGATGATACCTAATGGCTAGGAAAGAGAGAAGCAAAAATGTCCAGGCTCTCCTTCCTTTTAGTACCATGGCATTGAGAATCCTGCTGACTCCTCCTACCCCCAAGGCTGTGACAGGGCCTCACTAGGATGCTCCTATCAGGGAGGAAATGAGGTATAAGGTCTTGGTACCTTTCCAAGCTTTCCTCCAACCAAGCCAGGGAGGCAGGGGTATGAGGGCGCAAAAAGCTGAAGAACAGCACTGGGCTTAATGTGCAACAGATGGGGGGCCGGGGGTGCCAACAGAGTGCAGACTCCAGGACAACCCAGACTTCAATTATTCTGGTCCCTCAGACCACGTGTCCCAATTTTTTTTTTTTTTTTTGGCAAAAATATGGTCATTAAGAGAAAAGCATGGGAAGCTGAGACCAGTGACTTTGGTATGAGGAAGATATGTCCTGACAGCACCTCTTACCTACTGTCATGAAGCCCCAAATCACCAAGAAACTGCCCTAGCTGGGAACGCGATTCTTCAAGCTGTTGGTGCTGAGGGAGGAGGAGCTGGACAGGTCTGAGAGAGGCAAAGGGGAAGGTAGAAAAAAGAAGGAATCCCCATTTATTCCCTAAAGAGGTCTCCCAGAGCCCATGAAATGGCTGTCGCAGGGATGGGAAGAGACCGGCTCCTCAGGCCAGAAACCTTCAATGCTTCACTCCAAAAACTAAGGCTAGAGCTGTGGGGCGAAACCGGGGTGTCAGGCACAGGTGTTAGATATCCATCACAGGCAGACAGGACACTCTTGCCCTCCTGAATTTCCTGTCCCCTTTTCTCTTGCAGTCACATCCCTAGGCTTCCTAATAGCCACAAAAAAAGCTGGCTCTGCTCAGCAGGGCTTTGGTTTCCTGGATCTCCGCAGATCTTAATGTGTTGTTTCCAGAAAAGTGAGCAACCCAGGCTCTTCTGTCCCCAGGAACCATCATGTTTCTGCTCCGTGAGGATGGGGAACCAGCGGAAACGAGGGCCAGGAGCCAGACAATCACCCTGGAGGAGCAGGAAGGGACATGTGCACTTCCCTGGGACCACCTCGCCAGTGTCACCCATCATTAGCGGCCACCAGCTGCCCCATGCCCTCGCGGATGTAGACAGACTGGATCTCCTTGGTCTTGAGGCAGAGATCACAGGCCCAGACAGCAGAGGCCTCAGTGGTCAGCAGCCCATAGGCGCTCTCAGTCATGCCTGTGCACTCGCGATGGAACCACTTCTGGCAGGAGGCCTCACACAAGATAGCATCCTGGTCGTCATTCACCTCGCTCCGACAGGCACCACATGGGTACACCAGGCCTGGGGGAGGCTGGGGCCCTGAACCCCCACCTGCCTTGCCAGGGGGTGCTAGGCTGTTGGCATCCGGAGTGCCGCCACCCCGCCCACTGCTGTTTGGGGGAAAACTGGGCTGATTCCCATTAACAGCAGCAGCTGGCGAGCCCGAGTGGGGCTCCTGGGGAAAAGCAGTGGGAGCAGGTGGATTCAAGGGCTTCCCCCCATCCTCACCACCAGGGCCGGGAAAGCCGGGGTCTGGACCAGGGAAGGGACTTGTGTTGGGGGGCAGGCTGGGGAGCCCCTGACCAGGTCTCTGTAGAGGAGAAGGGCCAAAAGGCACACCTGGCTGAGCAAAACGCTGGGGGAGAGAAGGAGGGCCCAGCTCCCCTCTGGGAGGCTGTCCCATGGTGGGTGAGATCATGGGGCCAAATCCCCCCACTGGCATCATCTGCCCACCTGGAGGGCTAAAGTTTTGACCCAGAGGCTGGCTGAAGGGTTGACTGGGAAAGTTCATGTTGCCTGGGGGTGGGTAGCCAGGGCCCTGGGGGGGCATGTTGAAAGCAGGTCCCATAGGATTAGGAGGAAAAGGGGGGGGTTGTCGGCGAAGTGTCTGGGGACCCCCTCCACCCCCAGTGCCATAGCCTGGGGGCACCTGGCCTGCCATGCCCCCTTGTACACGGAAGCTTCCAAAGGGCACAGGACTGCCAAGGAATGGAGGGGCTGCGCCCCCCACCTTAGGGGCTCCGAAGTCATCCTCAAAAGGGTTGGATGCAACCAGATGATCCACCATGGGAGTCGGGGGTGGTGCAAACTCCGTCAGATGTGAGTAAGCAGGACCCTAGTGGAGAGCAGATGAGGAAAAGGGTCATGAAGGGACACACAGAGATAAACCTGGAGAGTCCTACCAACAAACAGAACACACACTTTGGAGATTGATACTGACCAGCTCAGGTC